ATATATATATATATATATATATATATATATATATAATATTCTCGCCGACCAAACAAACTGCGTGGTTCATTCAATACTTACATTCCAACAGCTTGGCTGCAATCTCAGACTAAACCAGACAATGAGTAAATCATTTCATAAAGAACTAAAAGGTATACTCTGAGGACACACTGGGCAGAGAATAAAAACAGATACGTAAAACACTACGACAGCGGTATCCACGAAAATACAATAGAAGGAATTCAGAGAAGCAAGCAACCGAAAAAATAGTTCGGTCAAACAGCCCGTTCTGGTGAGCCCATTCAGATAAAGCAGTAGAGAAAAATTGAAACATACAAAGGAATGCCACGATGAAGATAGTGAATTCTCATAAACTAAGGTTTCAAGAAGGTTGTGAAGATGCATGAGCACCACTGTTTACGACACTCAGCCGCATTACCGTGTCTCCACCACATTGATCCAGAGTTTTCATCCAGAAAGCCTCACGCAATTTATCTGACTGAATATCTTTGTCAGGGTTTTTATATCCTCAAGCCCGGTCTTAGTTTGAACAACCTCGACTTTTTCCCCCATCATTTAACTTGGCAAACATCTCATACAGTGTAAATTCTTAATCAACGATCGTTTATTTTTCCCTTTCACTGATCCGCGTTCGCAACGGCACATATTTTTCTCTCATGTTTGGGTGTTATTTCGCCGATTTAACTAATACATCACCTAGACTGTAGCATGTATAAACCGGATGTACGATGTAAATTAGTTCTTGATTTTTTTTGTTCAAATATATCACAGTGAATTTCGTCTTGTACAGATCAAACGAAATGTGATTTTAAAGGTTAGGAAGCATTGTGTAGCTGTTTCAGCGTGATTGAGTCGAAAATCCTGGGGAACCAAGACCTCACAGGTAGAGCTAAAGTGTGCTACTCACTTCGCCACTGCGAAGTTGCTTAGACCGTTTTAATTTGGTTATTATTGTTCATTCAAAAAGGACTGCAACACTCACCGCTCATGCGTCCATTCCTCAGGTTATGCGTTATGTGCAGAAAAAAACATGTTAGGCATACCCTCGTTATCCAAGCAAACTCGTCACTGTTATAGAAGAGCTGTACCAGCATCAGGGTAAAAAGAACTTCAGAAACTTGCATTTAGTATGGAAATCTCGCTTTGGTTATGAAGTAAAACTTTATCAGTGAGAAAAACAAACGAATACTGGTGCCCAACTATTGGTAAGACAGTGATAAGATGAAACGGAAAATCGCACTGTGGAATCCATTCCATCATCGGAAACATTGAATGTCATAAAGAATATTCAAAACATAGTTGGAAGATAGTTGTTACAGAAACTGAAATTGTTTGAATGCCCCAAGGAAGTAACATGAATATCCTACTATTTTACCGATAGAGAACAAAACACTCACCTTGGGAAAGCTTCATCTAAACCCCAAGTTAACAAGCCCGGAGTTCTTTGTGGAGTTGTGCTATCTGTAAACTTATTTTCTAGATACCTTTGTGATATTCCTTGGGTTTTAAAATATGTCTCTTCGTCCGATTTAACCTCCTATACCGACAATGTTGGTCAAATTCAGTT